CCGTCGTCTGCCTCCCAGAGTCGTCGCAACTATCCAGGCAGCTCGTAGACCGTCAACCACCCGGATCTACGACTCCACCTGGAGGGCATTTTCGTCTTGGTGCGACAGAAATTCCATCGCCCCCACGGCGGCCTCCACGGAGCAGGTCCTCATCTATCTTCAGGATCGCCTCGACTCAGGTTTGGCTCCCAACACTCTCCGCAGGCAAGTAGCCGCAATTTCCTCCATTCTTTGCTGTGGTTCACGGGGTTCCCTAGCCTCCCGCCCACTTATTCGGCAATTCCTTAGGGGTGCCTCCAACCTTCGGCCTCCTCCTCTCCATAGGTATCCCACCTGGGATCTTCCTCGGGTCCTGGATGCCCTCACCAAGGCCCCCTTTGAGCCTCTAAGGGAGGTGGGGCTTCGATTCCTATCGTATAAGGTTGCTTTCCTTCTGGCCATCACTTCGGCCAGGAGGGTGTCTGACTTGGCTGCCCTCTCAGCCCGAGAAGACCTATGTATCTTCCACCCTGACAGGGTAGTTCTCAGATTGGACCCCACTTTCCTTCCCAAGATCAATTCCCCTTACCATAGAACCCTCGAATTAGTCCTTCCCGACTTCTGCCCTAATCCTTCTCATCCCCTCGAGAAGGCTTGGCACACTCTAGACGTCAGAAGGGCCCTCCGCATTTACCTCCGACGCACCTCTTCCCTGCGCCAAACGGAAGCCCTCCTGGTTTCATTTCAGCCTGCCTCCTTAGGCAAGAAGGTATCGGCGACCACTTTGGGTCGTTGGATCCGCGCCACCATCGCAAAGGCTTATGAGGTCCTCTCCATTCCGGTTCCTCGTGGTATCACGGCGCACTCTACCCGTAGTGCGGCCACCTCGGTCGCGTGGGCTACTCAGGCTTCCTTGGAGGAAATCTGCAGGGCCGCCGCCTGGACGTCCCCCACTCCCTTCGTTAGACACTATCGGCTCGATAGGTTTGCCTCTGCCGAGGCTGCCTTCGGACGCAGGGTACTCCAGCAGGTTCATTTGGGAACCTCCCCACCCCCTCGGGCAGGTCCCTCCCTACAGAGTTAGGCTTGGGTATGTCCCAATCCTGACCACTGGAGCCAGGATCAACGAGAATGGGCGTTGACTTACCTGAACGCTTCTTCTCGTTGCTCTGGCTCCAGTGGTCAGCCCCGCCCTGTTGGTGCCCTCGTGGGTGGGGAGGATTCTGTGGATCTCTCTCTATTTTTGTCTTACAGCTCAAAGTGCCAGTCTGCGTTGCTGTCTTTCATCAGAAAGCTGGGAAGCAAGACAAAGGGGAGGAGCTTCTCAGCTTTGCAGACTCAATCAGTAATTGGAGCGTGTCACTACCCAATCCTGACCACTGGAGCCAGAGCAACGAGAAGAAGCGTTCAGGTAAGTCAACGCCCATTCTGTAATAGCAGGCGAAGCTTCAATAAATATAGTCCAGGAATATTTTATTTAGCATGTTATTGAACGTGTTCTAAGAATGAACTAAATTAAAAGCACAGTAGCTGTTTTCTGCTCATATTACATCAAAAGAATTTAAGTTAGTACAGGCATGTCCTAGAGGAGCTTATTCACCCACCCATTTAATTCTGCTGCAAATTAAACCAGTTTTTAAAACTGAAATTAGATAATGTGTTGTGTTATATGGACAGATTTATATTAAGTAGAATGCATTCTGCGTTGCAAATAATAACTATAGAGACAAAATATACATCACTCCTACATTTGCCTATGAGACTCATTTTTGCTGTTCCCTCTTCTTTAGCTTTAAAAGCCTATTGGCAGTTAATGGAAATAAGAGTACTTCATTGTCAGTGAGATGGGGGACATAATATTTGGGAGAGGAGACAATTTTTGCCTGTTCAGAAAGTGCCTCTCACAGCGAGAGCTTCAGATATTTTTAAAGGCCTGTCTATAATGATCGATTGCTTGCATTTGAGATGAATATTGTGCATTTTCTTTGTCTGATTGTGGCTGTTTAGCATTGGGTTTCTGGGTCTGATCCTACAATTATTGCCAAATTATCTGAAAATATTGTTATTGTTGTTACATTCCATAATCCTATTAAAATATGAAATGGATATCTTTTCCATTTTGGAAAGGATAGCTGTATTGCTTTTTTAAGATACAGATTTTATTGAAATAGGAGAGCTCTATTGCTGAAAATACAGTATAGTCTTAGCTTGGCAAGGCAGACATATTACAGAAAAACATTTTAATAGATAGTTCTGTGTACGGCATAGCTTCCTCCATGGTTTCTTAGTGGCAGAGGTTTAATGAGCATGTGGTAATCCTAGTGTTGCGTGTTAATTAAGGTAATTCAACTCTGTGCTTTTTGTGAATCTCCAGCTGGTGATTGCATTGGTGCAAGACTATAATTAGTCTTTATTTCCCTTTTGATGTCTTTTGTTTAAAAAAGTTTTGAAGAAGCTTGAAATGATTAGGCACATTTTATCCTGTGTATGTATCTGAATCTAATTACATAAATGTATAGCTATGATTACATAGACAAACCCTTTATCTTGAATATGATCTCATTTACTCATTTTAGTATATTAAAAAAAGACTTCTACATTATGCACTCTTGATAGAGAAATAGTAATTTTTCAATCAGCATTGAATATGAAGAAGACCACAGTGGAGCAATTATTACTTGGTTCTTTACTGTTAACTCAGTACTCAGAATAAAAACTACACACATCCTCAGTTTGGAAGAACCTATTAAAGATCAATATTAATACTGATTAATATTAAAGACAAATATCTGTTAAATGGCAAATGGGATTTTTCAAATACAAAAACAGTTGTGCTTTACTTATAACTTATATACTTATATAACTGTGAATATACCCTTTTTAAGCAGAAGCAGCAGTATCTGATCTGCCGAATGATGAGTTTTGTTCATTTTTCAGGGTAAAATTCCTAACAGAAATCGGATCCACTGGATTTTATCTGTTAATTTGAGGGCTTACTATAAGCAGACTCTTAATTGATTGGGTTTATTTATAAATACAGTAAATAAATGAATTTAAATTTTAAAAGTCTTATTAAGAGTGCAGTAGGAACTAAAATAAGTTATATTTAAAGCTCATTATTCATCTACTTAATAGAATGGAATGGAATGGAATGGAATGGAATAGAATTTTTTATTGGCCAAGTGTGATTGGACACACAAGGAATTTTTCTTGGTGCATATGCTCTCAGTGTAATTCCATTCTATTCTATTCTTCTAAAAAGATGTATCTTGGTAAATCTTGGATTTCATCACAAAATAGCTTATACTACATCTGTCCAAACTCTTACTTTGACACTGTGGGACAGATTTTAGCATGTTGAAGACACCTGAATTTTATGAAAATGTCTAACAAGGGGACAAGGAGAGTTAGAAGGGGGAATTTCCTTTTACAAACATATGGCACCTTAGCAAATACAATATGGTGTAACATTTTCTAGTTTACAGCTATTTTCTAGTTTATTAGGTGTTTAACTTGTATGTTAGGAGTGTATTTATATATACTTGCCATGCAAAAAAAGCTCTTAATGCATTTGATTATCTCTATTATAGTACACAATTCCTATACTCTAATGCACATGTTAATGGACCAGAATACACTTTATGATGTTATTTTTACAATAACTGATGGTTTTAACGTTGCAGAGTTTTATTTTATTTATTTATTATTTATTTTTCACATTTCTAAACCACTCATCTGCCTCAAAGAGAAACTCTGGTGGTGTACAATAGAACGTCAAAATAAAAAAAAAGTATATAAAATTTAAACAGTTAAAATTAGGTTTTTAGAATTAAAATTATTATCTGTTTGTTTCCACGGTTGCAAGATTTTCATATTTATAACAATATTGATGGGTGGTAGCTGTTTATACTCGGTTTTTTTCCTACAGTTTTTTTACTACAGTTTTTTTCCCATTTCTTCAAGGAGGAAAATAGCTTGGTTTAATATGAGACAATTATGATTTCAGTTTCATAGGTGTACATGTGTAGTCGGATTATTTATAAAATATGATTGCTTAGGAGAGGCTAAAACAAGTATTTTTATAATCAGTGTCCAATCATCAGTGGTACAATAAGCTAAATATTTCTGTAGAAATAAACCTGCTACATCCCAACACATGATTAAATTTCATGTTCCACTGGGGTTTTTTGTTATGTTTCCTGGGATGGGATGGGATGGGATGGGATGGGATGGGATGGGATGGTCTAGACTGGGTAGGGTGGGGCAGTTTAGACAAACTAACAGGGATAGTTAGATTTATGAATAATTACATATGTCTTTATCTCTTTATTAATAAAATTGTTTCTTACTGGACTTTACAGAAACTTGTGAATAGATACAATCTACTTTGAGCTGCTGCTCTTAAAAATAATCTTTTGTGGATTGTCTTCTGAAGAACAAACTGCATTTAATAAATCCCTATTCTTGGTTATTGTTTCTTTATTCTGATGAGAAATATTAGTGGAACAGAGTGGGTGAATGGATTTCAATCTTTTTTATCCACCTGCCTTTTCTGTTCAAAATTGCTGCCAAGCCAACTGTGTTTTAGCTTGTGGTAATCAGGATAGGTATAATGTTTTAAGCTACATAAAGCAACAAGTTCAAATTCTTATTTATCTTGGTCTTGGCTAAATCACTGTTTGAAGTTAACTGACTTCATAAATCCTACTGACCTTGTTTCCTGAGGAAAGACTTGGATAATCATAATCAATGTCAAAATCTGGTGAATGCTCATTCATGGTTCTCAAAAGAGAACATTTGTATTTTCATAGAAAAAGATGGAGATTTGGGCCCACCATTCATCACTAATCTGCTTCAGAGTAACAAGACAAGAATGCACATTCTTGTTATGTTTCAGTGTTTGTTGAAATGCTGTGGTCCTGGGTTTATTACACATTAGTAGTAAAATTACACATAACAGTACACATTAATAGGATTTATTGCTTAAAAGCTGGGGTCATAATTTCTGTTTTCCTTTGCAGACTGTCCACAGCCATCCAAACCTGAGAATGGAGGTTACAAATGTCATCCAACGCCTTGCAAAGACCCACTGACATCTGACAGTGTCATAGAGTATTTCTGTGACAAAGGTTATGTATTGAAAGGAGATTACAAATATTTGACTTGCAAGAATGGCAAGTGGAATCCAGAACTGGAGGTTACCTGTAGACTTAGCCAAGGTCAGTATATCTGAGTGAATATGCTTACTTTTGCTTTCTGTGCTGTTAATTTTTGTCCAGTGTTTTCAGATACTGACATAAAACCCTAGCTACACCATAGGACAGTATTGGGATAGATTCAATCTAAAAAGAAATCTTTATTTCAAACTTATTTCAGTTCTCTATCAATGTAGCTGCCTATTCTCTCTCAACAAATTTATTTATTTATTTATTTATTTATTTATTTATTTATTTATTTATTTATTTATTTATTTATTAAATGTTTATGCCGCCCTTCTCCCGAAGGACTCAGGGCAGTGTACAGCCAAGATAAAAAACCAACAATATAAAAGTTAAAAACAATTTAAAATTATTAAATAGTTTGGCCAATAATCTAAAATAAAATAACCCATTAAAATAATATTTTAGGCCAGCCCTGCTTGATAGAATAATAGTGTTTTAAGGGCGTGGCGAAAGGTACGAAGGTCGAGAATCCGATGAATCTCCGGGGGCAGCTCGTTCCAGAGGGCAGGTGTCCCCACAGAGAAGGCTCTCCCCCTGGGGGTCGCCAGTCGACACTGTCTAACCAACGGCACTCTGAGGAGACCCTCTCTGTGGGAGCGTACTGGTCGATGGGAGGCTGTCGGAGGCAGAAAGCGGTCTCGTAAGTACCCAGGTCCTATGCCATGGAGCACTTTAAAGGTGGCAACCAACACCTTGAATCGTACCTGGAAGACCACTGGGAGCCAGTGCAGCTCGCGCAGGAACGGTGTTACATGGGAGCATCGAGTCGCCCCCATAATCACCCGCGCAGCCACATTCTGACCAGCTGGAGCCTTCGGGTGCTCTTCAAGGGGAGCCCCATGTAGAGACCGTTACAGTAGTCCAGACGGGAAGTGATGAGGGCGTGAGTGACTGTGCACAAGGCGTCCCGGTCCAGAAAGGGACGCAACTGGTGAATCAGGTGAACCTGATAAAAAGCCCCCCTGGCCACAGCCGTCAGATGGTCTTCTAAAGACAGCAATGAGTCCAGGAGAATGCCCAAGTCTAGGCAGCTTATAAGCAATAAAAATACAGATTGGGGGTGGGGGAGGAAACAATAACCACTCACTCACCGCCGGTGACAACACACAGTCAAACGAGCCATTTGATGGGCTCCACTGTATATTCCCCATGTAATTCAGAAAACTGTAATTTGCAGAAATACAGAAAATGTTTCCTAATATCTGCAGCTTTTCTGACTCCCTGTCTCAGCGCCCCCCCAACTTTTTGAGCACCAGGGACAGTTCCATGGAGAGGTTTTTCCAGGGACCAGAGGGAACATGGTTTCACGTGCTGCCTGCATCCTACGGATGGGACTTCACTTGATTGTGCAGCCCGGTTTCTGGTGCGGCCCAGTGCCGGTCCACAGACTGGGGGTTGGGGATCCCTGCCCTATACTGCAGACGCAAACACATAGAGAGATGTAATTTCCACAGAATGTTTCAAGAAGGGGTGATTATTAAAATTAAAATAAGAAAAAGGTATTTTGCCTATATGCTGAATGCTTGCTTCTGAATTTTTAATAGTTTCTTTAAAAAACAAACAAATCTGTAGCCATTTCCTGGACTGCGGAAAACTTTAGATCATGTTGGTTGGGAATTCTGTATGTTGTTGCCCAATACGTGTGTAAGGCATAAGGCTGAATATGTATATATTGGAATGGTTCCACTTTCTCTGTTGCAGTGCCTAGCTCCTTCCCAATACCATCCCAAAGCATTAAAGGATCCCTACCCTGACTATGTTTTAAGTTAGCTATGAAGACTTGACTCTTTCCCTAAACCCTGGGTTAGTGTGTAGTGACCCTCTTTTGGGAATTTGGGTGAATGAGTTATATTTCGATTGCTTTCTTGGATTGTCTTCTGGAATAGGTGGCCATATTAAATAAATTAAATTTTTTATCTCTTTTTGGTAGGCTATGATAGGTTTATTATTTTAATATTATATGCCGTTTATTCTAGAGTTTGGGTAGCTTCAGATTTTTCAAATTTGACAGATAAATGAAGCAAGTGCATAGCAATTAAATTGTAAAGTATTTAGGGGAAGGGATTTTCTTTTTTTTTTTTTTGAAAAAAGTTTTTTATTTTATTTCTTATAAACTTTGTAAATGTAAATTCTCTTATTCATAGTTAATCACACATATACATATATTTTCTAAAAGAATTTTTTTTTTTAAATTATATTCGGAATTGCTCTTCTACCCTTTCTTCTCCCTTATTTTACAACAATCCTTCTTCTCCTTTCTTTCCCTTCCCTGCCTTCTATCCTTTCCTAAAGGGATAGAAGGGGAAGGGATTTTCAATCCAACTTGATCACAGCTTACTGCAAGGGAATGTTCTTTACCCCATCTTGACTCTCTTGAAAAGAATGTTCTCAAAAGCAACTTAACAATTGCAAGATTTTCAGTTAGATAAGAATTCATTTCCCATAACATGAAGCAAAAAGAAAGAAAGAAAATATTTGTCATGTTGCTTTCATTGACTGGGGGCACTGCTGCAGCAGTAGGAGAGAAATAGATGTCACTTAATAGAAATTTATGGGAAAAGACAAAATCCCTGAGGGCCAGATGAATGCTGAATCTGAAATGTTCATGTTCAGTGGAAAAAATGAGCTTGGGACGTTTTTACCTTCTAAAAACAAAGCTTTTAACATAATAGGAATAATACCAATCTCATTGCCAAGCTTTGACTTGACAATGGAATGGTCCCACAACATTCTGCCTAATTTCCAGTAATACTGATTTAGTCATACAGTCATATTCAAACTTATAATTCAGCTGCTTATTTTTTCCTCTTGCAATTAAATAAATTTCAAAAATGTAATCTTGAATATATTCATTATAGTTTTGACTTGCGAACAAATAATTTTAAATTCAGTTAATCTAAAACAAGAAGCCTGGGGTTTATCAGACAGCTAAGATAGCCTGGGAGTTCAGTCAAAAGGAACATGATTGGACAACTAGGTACAGTCTCTCTGAGGATGTCTCTGAATGTAATTGCAGCAGATTTGACCCAAACCAGGCTTCCCTGAGAAGAAAACTTCCTATGCAAACAGCTTACTGTCAAGACTGATCTTATTCAGGAATCCTGCCTTAGTTATAGGAAACAGCTGCTTTCTAAAGAGAACCCACTGACTATTTTTTGTTTGTTTGATTTTGTAGATAAAGGTTCTCCTCCAAGTGTAGGAGTACCCACCTTATCCATAGTGGCTACTACAGCAAGTTCAGTTGCTCTCATCCTTCTCCTAGTTGTATTGTTTGTTTTGCTACAACCAAAACTGAAGTCATTTCATCACAGCAGGTGAGTTCTTCACAATTTGTGGGAGTCTCTTCAGTTAAAGAGATTTGGGGGTGGAGGTTGATATTAAGTGGAAGAGGCTATTGTGACTAGTTGGGTATCAGCTGGAATTGATGCTGCTGCTCACTTTAGTAAATTTCTGGGATTAGAGTGGTAGAGTATACCAATTCAATGTCCAAAGTAGTCTAAACCATGCAAACTAATGGCCAGTGTTCTCGAAACACAGCATGTTACAGTTGACTTAACTGCAGAATAGCCTGAGAGATAACAAAATAGTTATGCCAGTTATGTACTGTAACCACTAAAAGGTTAGAATAGATACTAACGTTGGTGGTAGAAGTTATTTGGGAAGATGACATAATCATCAGATGCCTTTGAGGGGCAGATGTTTATTCATGTAAATTGGATGGAGAACCTGTTCAAATGCTGTTAGGTCTTGACATCCACAGCTATGCCAGTGAAAGATGAAGAATGCTAGAAGTTGGTAATATCTAGAAAGTTTCAGAATCTCCACTCTTGATGTAAATGCTTATAAGTACGCTATGGTGACGTGTGTCTCATTATTTTATTGACCCAAAGTCATGCATTCTTTTTCTGATTGTTCCTTCCTATCTTCTTTTGAGTTTTTCCTCCAATCTTTTTTTTTTTATACTTCAGGAACTCATTCTGTTAGACAAAACAAAAATTCTTTGGAAAAACTATTTCCATTTTGATCTTGAAGATAACAATCACGAATCCTATTGCAAAGGAATAGATGGACTCTGTGGTGTAATACATACATGGTCAAATTCTGTTTTTATTTCCCGGAGGGAAACATTAGATTTTTCAAAGTACCTTGCTCTCAATAGATGCCAATTATCAAGGTCTCTTCTAGTAGAAACTTTACCTAAGGCTTATTGGAGGGATTCAAAATATCCAAACTAAAACATTGTGTTTCCCAGGCTATCTTTATGGTCAACAGGCACCACTGTCACCTCTGTTACTCAAAAGCTAAAAGAAACCCTGGCCTTCCTTCCATTCTTGGAGTTGGGAAAAGAGATCTGTGCTTTGTTTGCTCCCTGCCTGCTTCAGAGTTCCAAGGCTGGGAGGAAGCTTGGAATTTCTTGAGCTCACAGATTGTTGTCAGTATGTTTACTCTGGCAAGAACAATGTGGAAACAGCACTTTGGGGGAAGAGGGAGTTTTGTAAACAGGCTTAATTAGGCTGGAGATTTCATTGATTTTATTTAAAATGAAAAGTTATCATCACTGCTAATACGTACTTCTGTAATCCAGACTACTTGTGTATTATTCTCTGAGATAAGAAGAAAAAACAGTTTCCTGCAATCTTACTTGTCTAATTTTTAAAAAACAATTGGCCAATATATAAAGCAGTAGACACATAATAGTTGTTTTCCCTCTATTCTTATACCTGAAGCTGGAAAAATCTTGAATCAGGATAGAAATGTCTCTTAATGAAGAAGATAATGCAACTTCAAGGTTGCATGCCCATCATATCCTGCAAATTTTATTCAGTGAATAAAATGATTAAAACTTTGTGGTGTTTTCTTTGAGTGGATTATGGTAAAAGCACTACTTTATTCCTTCATGGCGAATTCCCATGGAAAGTTTGCCCCATCTGTTTTGCCTTGTATGCTTTCTTAAGATAGCAATCAGAGGAGTAATATTTATGTTTAATCCAAGGAGTTCTTTCTCTCTTCCAGTCTCTTACATAAAAAGCTATGAAATTTAGACTGTTCAGTTATTCCCATGATCTTGTGATCCAGTGGAATTGTTTATCCATAACTGCTTTAAGTTCTCATTTGTAATATTAGTGATAGTTCTGGCCTCTTTTTTTATTTTCAATAAAATTTTCAAGCATCAGGATATTTTCCAACAACTCTTACTTACATGTTATATGGCAAAAATATTTATTTAGTCCTTCGAGCATGCTGACTGATTCTGCTTCCATACTGTTGAATAATTTATTTTTCTTGCTTTCCAATGTTAGAGAACCCTGTAACTGCAGGAAAAATGCAAGGGTGATGGTGATGATATGCTGTCCAATTTCCTCTATTTTTCTAGCCCCACAGTTGAGTGACATTGTTTTTTTTCTTCAGCCTTTTTGATCCTCCAACTTCTACAGTCATATGACTACAGTAGGCAATTTTGTTGGAAGTGTGATGCCCCTACACTTTAAAATTTTGTCTAGATTTGTCATAGCCTCCTAGAAGCTGGTGCTTCTTTAATTATGATTATAGTAACCAATCCTGTGGATTTTTGACCCAGAAAGATAGTATTTTTTGCTGCTGCTTCACCTGCTTGCATTAGGTAATCTTGCACACTTGACATATTTTTTGTATTTTGAATCGGACTGGCTTTTTCATTCTGTTTTCAAAACTTTAGCAAGGAATTCCTTAAGCCTTCCTGACTTCTAGCCACCAAGTCATATCACTTCAGTCTATTTGAGGTTATCAATATTTCTTCCAGCAAATTTAATTCCAATTTATGTTTTCCAATCCAGCACTTTTCATTTTATGTTCTTCATATTAATTAAATAGACAGGGTGATGGTGTACAATCTTAGTACACTCCTCTCCCAATTTTGAACCCAATGTTGAACCCATATTTCATTTTAACTGATGCTTCCTAGATGTCATTAAAATTCTCAAAATATTCAGATAGAGTAGTCTAGCCCTTGTGCTTAATAGCTATCTGTAGTTCATTGTGGTTCACACAAAGCTATTAGTATAATCCCGGTGTCAGCAACCCATGGCTCTGGAGCCACGTGTGGCTCTTTCATCCCCCTGCTGTGGCTTCCTGTCGGCTGAACCCACCACTGGCTGGCCCTGCCCCTTGCCCTCTCCTCCCAGTCACTCCTCGCCTGGCCTGAGAAAGTAAGGGTGACGGAGTGGGATGGAGACTCGTTCCACATCATAATGGGCTCCAGGAGGAGGAAGGGACGCCATCTCTCTCATTGTGAAGTACGCTAAATTTAACTCTGCTGTGCAAGGTGCTGCGAGAGCAGTGGGCAGGTTATGGAGGTGGCAACAGCAGTGGAATCAGTCACAGCCAGGCCAGTGTTAACTTGGGGCGGAGAGCAAGTCTAGTGTCTCCCTGAGTAACTGAGGTGCGTGCAGCACCAACAAGAGCTGGAAGTGCCTGAGAGAGGAGGCAAGTACAGGGGCGCTTCGCTCCCACTCTAGAATATGGAGCAAGTCTCCGTCCTCTGCCATCGCCCTTACCTTCTCAAGCCAGGCAAGGAGTGACTGGGAGGGGAGGATGAGGGGAGGGGCCAGCCAGTGGTGGGTTCAGCCGACAGGGGGACAAAAAAGCTTCATTTATCTGGGAACCTGAAATGATTCTTGATTTAAATCATATGATAAAAAGCACCCAAAGAAGAAGAAAGAACAACTTCAGCAAAAAAAAAAAAACCCAAACCCCAACCCTCGCCTGTTTTTGGAAATGGTTCAAGAGGGAATACACACACACACACACGTGAGACAGAGAGAGAGAAATGAGAAAGAGAGATATCTTTTTCCCACAGGAAAAAAAAAACACAAAAACAACGGGAGCCACAACACTTGGGTAGGCATGGCTGGGGGGGGGTCATGTGACTGGGTGGGAATGAGTGACGTCGAGTTGGCCCCGCCCATCCAGGTTTTATGGCTCCTGGTGTTTTTTTTTTTTCTGTGGGAAATGGCTCTTTTGAGTGTTTAAGGTTGCAGACCCCTGGTATAATCAATAAAACAAAAATCAGTGGCTTTTAGGGGGCTGTCTTGCCTTTTCAGTTATCCATTTAATGTGTGTAACACATGCAATTGTTTGTAGCTTGAACATCTGGAACCCTTGGCACTGTGGTTTTTTTTTTGGTTGTTGTTTTAAATACAGATTCCTATTTACCATTCTCTGGCCACTGCTGTTTTCCACATGAACTGTCAGCAATATTTTAGAATAGCATCCTTGCAAAATATGAAACAGTTCCACAGGTATTTCACAAATTCCTGCAGCTCTTTTCATAGCAGTATTTTCTAGGGTCCATTTAATTTTACTTTCAGAAAACGTCTGACTCTACACATTTTATACTGTGTTATAAATCAAATGGCCATGTTTGAAGTAGACTTCTATAAATTGTATTCACTTTTCAGATCTTGCTCAGTTTTGTGAAATGTGTTTGGTTGTAGGAAATTCAGATCAATGTCTGGAGACTTTTTCAGTACACTTTGGCAAGAAACACAGGCTGCATATAGTGGTAATGTTGCCAGTCAGTCTAGTGGTTGTTAGGTAGTTGCTTGGTGCATAGAACTTGGATGCAAGACAAAATTCTAAGTATTTCTAATTATGAAGTCCTGTAAACAGAATTAGATGTATTTATAAGGTTATAAAAGAATATATGCTTCCTTAATTGACTTGTGGACCCATGATAACATGAGAAAATTGATTATCAATAAAGCCATACTGTTTCTCTTTATTTAATACTAATGTAATTTGCAATTGAAACGTAATAACCATATCGTAGCAATAGCACTTAGACTTATATACCGCTTCATAGTGCTTTACAGCCCTCTCTAAGCGGTTTACAGAGTCAGCATATTGCCCCCAACAATCTGGGTCCTCATTTTACCCACCTCGGAAGGATGGAAGGCTGAGTCAACCTTGAGCCTGGTGAGATTCGATCTGCCAAACTGCTAGCAGCCGGTGATCAGCAGAAGTAGCCTGCAGTACTGCATTCTAACCACTGTGCCACCGCGGCTCATATCACATATAACCTCTCTTCTTTAACATATTTTCACCTGCATCCGGTATTTTAGCCATAGTGGAATTATTATTAGCTATGAGATAGAAATCTTGTAATTCTACCCCAGCTCATTTATGAATCTACTAGGTGGTGATAGATACATTTTTACAGGGTCTCTTATTTCCTCTTTTATTCCTATCTTACATTGTTGGGTTAAGCCTTACTGAGAAAATAAGAGGGGCTTTTAGGATGAAATGTGTTACATATTATATTGTTATATTTCCCCTTTTCTCAAGAAAAGAGAAGCGGGGTGTTCATCTGCCCACTATAAATCTGAAATATCCAAAGAGGTTTTTGGTTCCCAGATTGACCTGGCATTGTCATGGCGCTGTAGTTGGTTTGACAAGATGGCAGACATTTTCCCTCCAAAACGTAGAGCTGGGATGGGACAGATCTCACTATGACCATAATGATTCCTTCCTATTTCTGCAGCTTTAAACTGGAAACAACGTCGAGTCTCCTCATGTTCACTAGCTAGTACAGTAGTGGCATGTTGATTGTGGAAAGTACTTTAAAGCCTAATAATATCTGTGAAGGAAACATTGTAATGAAACAGTGGGAATATAAAGTTCTGAAGTAACATGTTCAACAAACTTAACATAATGTTAAATGCATAAAGGGCACCTGAAAGCGTATAATAGGGATATATCAGTCTTAATTGGAATGAAGGCCCTAGTCCCTCAGTATTAAACAAGAAGGGTTCATTTCAACATAATTTTTGTTTAGGAATTTTAGTTACAGATCTCAGTTAACAAATTTCATAAGCACATCGATGTTAGGAAGGAAAGTTTGTGTTGCTCATTAAAGAATTGGCCTACCTTATTGAAAATAATCCCAAGATGAACCATTTCTCTACCTTAGGCTTATTAAAGCCTTCTCCTGTTTAATGTCCTATAAATAGATACCTTGGAGTTTTGTGTATATGTGCCTTTGAGTCAGTGTTGACTCTGGTGACTACCTGGATAAATGCCTGCAGTTTTCTTGGCCAGATTTCAGGAGTGGTTTGACATTATCTCTTCCTAGGTCTAAGAGAGTGTGATTGACACAAGATCATCCAGCTTCTGCCTTCATGTGGGACTAGAACGCATGATCTCCCAGTTTCTAGCTTGGTACCTTAACCACTATACCTAACTGGCTCTCATCTTACAGTTCACTAAATACCTGATGGCTATGCTAGTTTGAAATGGTGTTTGAGAATTCTAAAAAATTGTGTTCCTAAGACACTTGGAGGAAACCAGTGTACAGACATGATTTATTACTAAAACCAGTGGTGAAATGTAAAATTTGTTACTACTGGTTCTGTGGGCATGGCTTGGTGGGGGGAATGTGACTGGGTGGGTGTGGCCAACTTTTTTTTTTTTAACTTTTAAAACCATTTTTTCTACAACCTCTTTGGCTGAAGAGGTTGTAAAAAAATGCTTTTAAAAACCTCTGACGATCCTCACTGAGTTGCCTGATTGTCAGAGGCTTTTTTTTCTTTTAAAACCATTTTTTCTACAACCTCTTCGGCCGAAGAGGTTATTTTAAAAAATGCTTTTAAAAGCCTCTGACGATCCAGGCTTGAGCCGCGCAATCATCAGAGGCTTTTTTTTAAAACTTTTAAAAGCATTTTTTCGGCCAAAGAGGTTGTAGAAAAAATGCTTTTAAATTTTTTTTAAAAAGCCTCTGATGATTGCGTGGCTCAGCTGGGCATGGGGGAAGGGCAGGGATTTTTGCTACTGGTTCTCCGAACCATCCGCTGCCCTCGCTACCGGATCAGTCAATCCGGTCCAAACCGGGAGCATTTCACCCCTGACTAAAACCTTTACTCTGAAACAACAGTGAAACAAATATGATTACTAATCTTGTACATTTGATTGTACCATAAAATGCTGCTTATGTCATTGTACCTAAATATTTCTTTGAATTCCAAACACAGGCGTGATCAAGGTGTTTCTGGGGACCAGGTTTCTATTATGGTGGATGGAGTTCAGGTAGCTTTGCCATCTTATGAAGAAGCTGTCTATGGCAGTGCTGGAAACTGCATACCATCCTCAGATACACGGATACAGATCGTCCTTTCAGAAGGAGCTGGACAGAGTGAGGCAAGGGAAATGCAACAGCCACCACCAGACCAAGGGGGTCCCAGTGGCTTTATTAGGGAGGATGAAACCCCTGGACGCTCTGGATTGTGTGAAGCTGGCAGCTCTCACCACTCAGAAACTGTTCTAGTGCATCAGGCGACCACGTCTTCCTGGGTGGCTGGCACATCTAGCAGTAAATCTGGGCACAAAGAGACTTCAGACTCAGAAAACAGCGATGTACAAAGCCTTTTATCACTTGCTTCCTCAGAGGAATACATGGATGGTAAGTAATGTGAAATAAGTCTTGAAACTGGATTTATATAACTGGAATAAAAATGTATGTAAATCCTACAAGCTCCATTTATTCCTTCAATCAAGAAATTACAAAAAGTAGCATAGTCATCAGAGAAAAACTGTTCCAGAACCTTTTTGTTATCCATCACCTACCTATCTTTCCGATTTATATAGCCATCCATCTCAATATATGACTCTGGATGACTCACAAAAAATTAAAAAGAGTATAAAAACATCAAAATAATACGGCAAGTTAAAAACAATATATAACCAAGTATAAAACTTACAAGAAAATACATAGCTGAAGTAGTCACATCTGACCATAACTGTCAATGCAGCCATGGCACAGGCTCTACCACATTCCCAGCTCCTCATGCCCATTGCAGAACCATGTTTTCAGGACCTTGTGAAAAGGCAGCAGGAGCCACACATCATGTGTTTGGAGTAATGCAACCCCAACCAAGACAAGAGGTGGAAAGTCCCCAAAGCCAGGTGGCCCCAAGACCCCAAATCACTCAATTTTGCTTGGGTTGAGCTGAAGCCTGTTGTTCCCCATGAGCTTCCAGACACTGAGATTGGACCTCCACAACATCATTTAAGGTAGAAATGTAAGCTGAGTGTTGTCAGCATACTGATGGCTCCTACCCCATATCATTGGATAATCTCATCCATTGGCTTCATGTAGATGTTAAACAGCAGTGAAGAAAGTACCAAACCCTGTGGCACCCCACACAGAGATCTCCTTCCTAACATATTCTCCCTAACAACTCCCTAGGGTTACCCATTAATAGATTTAATTGCAATTTTCTGTGCATTTCACAAAAGTACACAAACCAAACCAAAAAAAACCCCCAACCCTAGTCTTGCATTCAGGATTTATTAATGCAGGGTTCTAAGATGCATAATTTATTTCATCTGTAGTCTTTATTTATTCTGGTATAGAAGTTTAGAAATCCAAAACTAAACTTTCATGCATTTTAAACTCAAGAATACTTTAATACCTATTGAAAAGCCATCTTAGGCCTTCCTCCCTTACTTTTCTGCAGCACTTCTACATTACTACAGGTGTCTCCTGACCACAGAGTGGTTTATGCTTGGAACTGGACAGTTTCTGTTCAGGCTGGCCACAAAAACCTAACCCTGGTGCATTTTCTTTTTAAAATGAGGAGGGAAATGGGGTGGGTTTTTTATTAAAAAAAAAATCAGCCAGCTACTATGTAAAAGAGAGTGGCAAAGCCACCCCCTAGAATGACTGGAGATGTGTGGATGATAGTGACATGGTACTTTACCTCCAGAATGGAAGCTACGAGAAGGCATCCCAGGAGGTGACAGAAGGGGGAAGTTCTTCCAGTAAAAATCTGCCTATTCTACAGCGCCAGATGACATAGTGCACAATTATTTTACAGTATTTTCTCTAGACCAGGAGTTCAACTGACACAGGGCAAAATCGGTCTCTGGCTGGTACAGTTCTCACTATTGGAAGGAGCCTTAGTCTGATCCAAAGATTAGGAAGAATAAATAAGCTTTGTTCTCTTGTCTGAGTCAATCCAAAGAAGCTCTTATTATGAGACTCCAGGGCTTTTCTAAGGGAAAGGCCTTGCAAAAACACAGGCAATGAAAGTTTTAAAGAATGCCAAGCTTTTATAGAAACTTGGCTGGTTAAACAAGAACTTTTGTAACTCAAATGGACTTCATAGACTTCTCAGACTCTACCAGGGCTGTGCTGGGTTGTCTTTGAAACCTGGAACCGAATAGAAAGATTATCTAACATCCTTTTCTCTCTCTCCTTCCCTCCAGATATTCCATTGTTGAAAGAAGCATGAGGGTTACAACGGTCATCAAATCTACACACTCTAGTTTCCTTTTCGGAATGATGAGCGCTTCATGCTGGCTTTCCCTTCCCTGAAGTGCTGCACACTGAATATTTCCAGAAAATATCCCTTAGTTGAAGATCCAAAGGATGCCACCAAGACACCATCTTCAGTGCATCAGTGGAGTGCACCGTGCCAGCTATCTTCTCCATCTCATTCTATAAGCATTAAAGGAGGGCTTTAGAGACTCAAGTTCCTCCAGCCTCTCCTCTTTCCCAGACAGATGATTTTGAGTACAGTCTCTGGAGAGTTGCCATTTACTTGTGCCTTGCTCCTTCTCACACTGGCTCGCTGCAATTTCTCATAGGCCTTGCTAGCTTCTGGATGTCTCAGAAAGCAGGGTCAAACCACAGCTTGCTTTGTTTGGTGCAGATGGTTTTGTTCTATTTATTAACTACATTATGAAGGCAAGAAGAATGCCTTGAGATGGCCTGAGTGGGAGGGAGTTTATAAAATTCACACATACTGGTTGTAGACCTCAGGTGTTGAAAATTGTATAATCCATAATGAAACTGCACATCAACACATTAATAAGCAGTGCTGGCTGTATTAAAGGGAATTGCTACCCGCCACTTTAGAAAAAAATCGCTTAGGCTGCTACTTGTGCTTTGTTTTCCTCAAGGGTAAAGTGACTATACCTCTCATATATTTGCATTCATTCTTTTCTTTTTTAATTCCATCACCTCCACTAGGACATTCTTTATCTCTTTGAACATGCTGTGTGGCATACATTGAGGGCTGCAGAAAGCTTTGAGAAACTCCCTTGTATGTAGCCAGATTTAAGAGCACTTGCATGGCTAAGCCCATGGCCTCATCCTATCAGCAATACTGTGGCCGTACTACAGCTGATCCAAAGCCTTCCATCTTTGAGTATATGATTGGTTTAGTCTCTTTCAAATATCAGTAGAACATCAGTTTGTTGTGTTGGAGTAGCATTATCATCTGTCACATGCGTTTCTGTGTCAGCTCACCACAGAGTGATTTTGGCATTGCTACTTTATTTTGTTGCTGTGGTCGATTTCTGTCCTTGTGGAGGTATTGCCAGGGCCTGCATTTTCTTCAGCTAGCAACTGTCAATTTTTAAAGTATTGATCATGGTTAGCAAGTATTTAGCTTTTGAAATTGGTATGTCCAATTGCCTTGAATGAATTAGTGATAGCCTGCCTTAAAAAAGAGCCATGCTGCTGTTTGTCTAGATGCAAGAGCCTCCCTTCCTCAACATGCTTTATTTTTGTGTGTGTGTTGCCTTCTGCATGCTACTTCCACTTGGAAACTTCTTACTATGCAGGGAACATGCTTGTTTACCTCACGTCCTCTCGCACAAGTCTGCTTCTGTTCTTGTTTTTCTAGCTATCTGTGAACAACGGTCTTGATGACATTATGGAAGTACTGATTCAATAGCTTTTCTTCAAGTGAACCTCCCAAATCAAGACTTTTTGTGTGATTTCCCAAAGATTTGTACAACAGACGTAAGCAGCTTAAGTACCAGTTCTCCACCTTGTCCCAGCTCTGGGGACATGCCAACTGCAGGCATAAAGAACTTGGAATGGGAAATAGTTTTTGCCTCTTTGGATGGCCGCCCATAATCCCTGACTTTAGGTGGCCTGCACAAGCTCAGAATTATGAATATTCCTGTGAATATTCCTGACAGAAATTTAGTATTGAAAGCAAATACTCAGAAAACCACAGCTTGCATTTTATCAAATCATAAAGATAAAATCTCTGACCTTTGTGAATATATTCCTGCAAATTTGTAGGGTAATGTATATGACAATCTTAAGGTGTATAAGTAGAATTTGCTGTGGCAATGTGACAAAACTTTAGAACTCTGCATGGTTTTTTAAAAAAATCCTTCAGGATGTGCAGAAGTACTGAGTAAACCAATAATTTGCTTGTTTTTAATAATATGACAGAAGCAAACAATTCTGGATTTTCCTGGGGCCTGATACTGGTATAAATATATATTGCCTTGGCTTTGATTCTGCTCTCTTGTAAGTGAATGGATACATATCAAATATATATACATCTCATTACATAGAAGATGTTTCAGTAACAGTTAGTAAGCAAATGTGTAGGAAGAGCCAGCCATAACTAATATTATACAGAGGCTAATAAGGCACTGCAAATCCGTTGAAAGAGCTGCTTCCAGATACAAGGCTATGTACAAAACACCTCTTCCTCAATCAAACAAATATCTTTTTGCCAAGTTTGTGCTGCCATTTCCAGCTATCTCTACCTGGTTTTCCCCTATGGCTACTTTAGTGAAAAGAGGAGCTTTGATTGAGATCCCACAAAGTTAGAAGCACTTCTTTTGAAGGAGTTTTACCATCCTAATGGCTAGGGGCATATAATTTCCTAAACCAAATAACCACAATAATGTTTATCATGCTGTATAGACCTAGCTATTGTGGTTTATAAATGTTGACGAATGATTTATCATGGTCTGTGAACACAGCCAATTAACTTATTCAGTAAGATTAAGTAACTGTGGTTTAGTGCAGTGGTAAATATTTTGGTTGAGATGGAGATGTTTCGAAGTATATAGAGTGACATCTAATACCGATTTCTTTCTGGACTCATGACTGGATTAGCCTTGAATATGAATCTTCTTTCTCACTCAGCTGTGCAGTTTTTAAACCATGTAAGAACTCTGAAATAATGTATTTTCATTCCATCAAACAAAATTTATAATCCTGTGTTTCCATTCAAAAGAAGGGTTTTGGTGGAGCAGATCATTGGATGCTAATTGGAACCACACAAGGAAGGCATGAAAGCACTAGCATCCTCCTTTTTTAATATGTAGCCAGCATGTTCTGTGTACTGCATCCGTATTCTCTGGAAACCTTTAGTATAGATAATCTTTATAAAGGATTTGGGTCTTAATATTTTACCTGAATAATTTATAGCTGGATTTTGTGATTTTTTCAGGGCAAGAAATAGCTTTCCTTTGTAGAAAAACTGAATTTTGAAGATCAACAATAAAAATGCCATCTTCAAAATTGTAAGTTTCTTTTCCCTTTCAAATCTAATATTCTCAGGTTCTTGATCTGATTGGCAAATTCATATAAAGCAAAGATACCAATAGTTGTTAAGTATATGCTGGGGGTATCTGCTTAAGATGTAAATGAATAGAATATTTTTTTAAATGACATTAAAGTTCTGATGCATCAAAGAGCATTAACGTAGTTGGAAGGGCTGCTACTCCAACACTTTGTAGTTCTTAGGTGCCTAATTATTCATTTAACTTTTTGCAGCCTTTTATAGGGAGAACTACAGTAGATGCTGCAAGAGCACACTTTGTGCCTTGCAGGAATAAGTTGTGGTTCTGGTTTTTAAAATGTAAGCCTTTTCTGAAACTTGAGTCTCCTGGTTAATCTTGTTCTTCTGATGAATGAATGCTTGCCATTCCATCTCCCATTTTATTACAAATCCTGGTTGGTAGATGAACCCATGAAACTGCCTTAAAGTGACTTAGATTGGTCTGTCTAGTTCAATAGATTTTTTTTTTAATTTATTATGAAGGGTTTTTTTTCCCATTCCAGTAGTTATCATTGGTGAACATACGGATCTTATGTCAACTGTAGAAATTAACCATAGGACATTTTTCTCTTCCACTGAGAAAAGTTATTTCCTTATTCTTCCACCCAATACATGCTAAAAACAAGACATTTAACTTAAAACGCAGTGCTGCTTTTCTGTGGTAAATACGTATCAAGTGGATTGATGCGCACTATAGAAAGCTGCCATTTAACGAGGATGTGAGGCCTGAGCACCCCATTTTCTCATATATTAATGATCAGTTTAATATCAGTATCTTAAACCAGCTGCCACTCTTACTACTATTGCAAGACTAAATCTGGAGAGGACACATCTTTCCCAGTATTTCCTCTTTTGAAGGAAAAGCTGAAGCTTGAGAATTCATGCCTGTTAAAATAAACAGGATTACCAAATTCCTTTTTTATTATTTTGCCCTTGTTTTTGAAGTTTCATATAAAATAAGTGGGGGAAGAAGTTTGATTGAGAATGAATTTGCTTTTGTGTTTTAATATTTTAAAAACTGCACATTTAAGGCATGAATACAATAATACAAAAAATATATAGGTAATCCTCAAGTTACAAACGTAATAAAGCCTGCCAATTACATTCATAATCCAAAAATTCGTTAATTGTATCATGTTAAATGAATGAGCCCCCTCTGCTTTCCCCAATGCATTTGTTAGTCAAATGCACAGGTCATTAAGTGCACATGATGTATCTCAGAATGGGGAAGACCCATGGGGGGAGGGGTTAGTGCTGGAACAGGCCATCCAAGGCCTCCCCTCACCCATTGAGATATCTCATGTTTCGCTTGCAATGGGGTCTCCATAGTTCCTTGGGCCTTTTCCACACCAATCCTGTATCACCAATTGCTCACTTTCCTTTCAAAAATCTCCAGAACAGGCTGACCCACATGGCAGAAAAGCAGCCATCTTTTTCTCAGATGCTGTTTTCCTTAGATCTTGCATTCTTACACACGTTTTTGCGCAGAGAATGGAATCATCTCTAAGAACACAAGATCTAAGGAAAATAGCTTCACCAGCATCTGAGTAAAAGATGGCCACTTTTCTGCCACGAGGCCAGCATCGTTTGGTCCCGTCCTGGGTGGCGCCACGGGTACCTTCTGCGTGCTGCTGGTTTGAATGAGTGGCTTCGGGGATTGCAGTGTGAAAGCGGCAGCAGCCAATCAACATGGGGCATTTTTCACACTGTTTTGACTAGAGGAGAAGGCGGGAGCCACTTCGGGGATTATGGTGCAAACTCAGGGGAGGCCGTCAATCAACACAAGGCATTTTTTTGCAGTGTTTTAGCTGGAGGAAGAGGCGGGACCACTGGGCAGTTGGGCAGCTGGTTGGGACAGCAGCGGAAAAGCCGAGCTGAAGCCAGGGACACCCGAGCCCCTCGCAGTGAGCCAGTCATTGCAGTTGGTGGATGCCATGCCTGAGAGTCCCATCCACCCATACTTGCTCACCTCCTGCAGTGCCTTAGGTGCCAAAGCCTGAGGCATACCCCTGGCAGCGGTGAATGGGCGTACCAAGCTCTCCATCTCTCTGCCTCCATGGCGGCAACTGGTAAGGTCCACGTGGGTTGGGGAGGAGCAGGTGGAATCCAGTGGGCTAGCAAAGCAGGCCTAGTGCCTGAGAAGACCCAGCAGGGCAGGATGGGTGGGGAGAAATAGGCAGGAGGCATGTTGCAGCATCTCTGCAGTTGATCATAAGGGCAAATGATCGCTGTGATGCTGCAACATATCTAACTTTGGGACCAGGTCGTAAGTACTTTTGGTGGGTGTCATAACTTTGAACCATCGCTAAGTGAACTGTCATAACTCAAGGAATACCAGTATGGAGGAAAGTATAGAAAAGAACTGAAGAACATTAGATGCTTAAGGGCAGGCTACATCTATTAAGCATTCTTCGGAGTCCTCTTCCCAGAAAACCTTTTTTTAAAACACTGGAGCACTTTTTAATGATTCAGATTTAGCTATTTTAAGTAAATAAATTATAATAATCACTTCCTGCTATTTGTGGCAGATGTAAGGGGTCTGCAAGTCCATTTCCTGATTAAAATGTTACATCAGTGTCAGCAGCCCTCAGACACTGGATAGATGGGCAGCTAGATCTGCAGCTTGAAAAATCTTGCAGAGTCAGTTAGTAGTTTCCACTTCCTTGCTACAAAATCCTTTTTTTTTTAAGTCTCCAGGAATCTCAGTACTATTTCAGTTTTTCTTCTTTTTTTTTGCTACCTATAATGTTTACTCATTTCAAGTATACTAACACAAGAATAACCATGATGCTAATTAAAATATTTACAAGGGTTGTGTGTATGGAAAGCGGTTCCAGAACCAAAGATGTTTTTGTTAATTGTGCTAGGTTGAGTAATAGTGCATACACAACCGTGGTATGTAATCCTATATCCTCATTATTGTGAGGTGAGAGAGTGTCTATACAGTGCAAACAATTAGTACTACTGTGTCCTCGCATTGTTTTCAAATATAATGTGCCCATACAATTTTCAGACATTGCTTAGAAGCATAGAAACAGGCCATGTGTCACATCTAACTCATACTTTACATGACAGATCATAACTGGATTTGCAATAATTATTGCATTGTATGCCAGTAAACACAGAGACATAAACTAATCATCTGTGGGCAACCTCAGGTCCCAGGGCTTGTGTTCTGCAAATCCCCGAGAAGTACATGGCATTTTCTTAACATTTTAATGTTAACTACTGTATACAGTAGATGCAATTGCAATGCTGTGAATCAGGTTTCAGTTTCCATTATTACTCTCATATGTATATCACACACACTCCCAAAAGGAGTAACGTGCTTTTAAGAGGGGCAAGTTGGAAATCATGAATTTGGCACATCACACCACATTTGGTGGTATGTTATGGATTTCAAACCCATGTCTGCTTTGTTTCCTAGATGCTTTGTAATTGTTTTTGAACTTGATCACCTCTTTTGTGTTATTAAGATTCTAGAGGAAATACCGTTGGATAATGGAAAAACCTGTGTGTTAATGTAAATCATTTTCCAGCTGGTGAGCTAAGGAGCATAGCGGTCAATTTCTGGTGGAAATTTGACTGTTATGCTTCATTTTTCATGGAAGCTCACAGAGTTCAGACCAAACATCCTGTTAGAACAAACATTCAGGCACACATTTACACTGTAATGCAGATGACAGGCTGTAGATAGCTGGAGATACAAAAGAGGAAAACCTGGTTGCCTTCAGTGCTTTTTATTTGTAATCTGAACTGCATCACTAAGGAATTTATTGGAATTTATTTACAGAATGGTACTCGTATATATATCTATATCTATATATATGGGATTTTAAAGATTCTATAATGCTGTGTAGGATGGATCTATATATACATGTGTGTGTATGTGTGTGTGTATGTATATATCTCTCTCTATATATATCTATATATATAGATCCATCCCGTACATTGCAGTGGGTGTGATGATAGTATTTTAATATTTGTACAAAATTTAATTTAATTTCAATTCTATGTATATAACTGCATTTCTAAATTAAAATACCTTTTGAAGTCAATTGCCCATGGTGTGGCCTTTTTTCTATTCATATACAAGCAGTATTTTGAATAGATAATTTGAAGTGATTTCTTGAAAGAACACCTGGATAATGAACATTTTTCCAAGATTCATAGACAGAAAACCTATTGCTCTAATAGACACATCACATTTCATTTAAGGCAATCGTTTAGGTTCAGTGTAGCAACTTTTTTTTTATTGATTTGGAGGCTGCCCTATTCCAGAATGATTTGGTATAGCTTACAGTAGAAGGAAGAGAAAAGCCACATATGCCTCCAGACAAACCATGTGTCAATAATTTTAACGACTTTTGTGAACTCGGCAATTTTACATCGCCAACACATACAAAATCTAAAACATTTTTGCTGTGTGCAGCCTTTCTTCATTACCATACTTCTCTTAATTCAGACAAAGAGTTCCTTTCAGTATTCCCTTCTTGGCATTTATTTAGGTTGTAGAAAGAATAAGAGAAAATGTGAGAGAAAATTCAATATCTTTCCTTAGGTTTCCCAAATGCTTTAAGCAATCATTTAGAATTTTCCTTTAATTTGTTCCTGGTAGATTTAGTAGATAAGGTTGCTTGGTGATGAATCAAACACCTTGCTTTTGTATTTTAAAAAATGGCTCAAAGTAATTATCTTTCACTTTTACATGTTTCTTCTGGTCTGTATGGATGTTTTAATCCAGATACATTAGAACCTCTGGTCACGAACGCTTCTGACCACGTCCAAATCGGGTTCCGACCAAAAAATTCACAATTTTTTTTTCATGGCCGATTTCCCCTTCCACGCCATTTTTTTTTTTTGTAAGCATCAAATTTCCAAAATTAGATTCATGTCACTACCAGATCGGTTTGCAACCAAAGTTATGGAACGAATTCTGGTTGTGACTAGAGGTTCTACTGTACTGGAATTGGGAAGTTTGATAAAAACAGCTGATATTTTGTTATGCCTATTCTGAAAATTGGAGCGTGAGAAGAAAGTGTAGATATGGTAAGGCCGGAAAAAATGAATGGTGTGTAACATTACTTAATAAAACTATGCAAAGGATAAACATGAGCATTCAGAAGAGCATTGTCTCTTTACATTAAAGTAGAAACTTCAAAAGAAAGAATGACAATACATAGTCCTAAACAAACAGTATTGCACCTTTCATTTGACTAAAATCCTGTTTCAATTTTCAAACAAAATAAAATCAGAGTTGCATCCAGATGAGAAGGTGCTAAATAACAAAAAAATGATTTCTGTTACTCTGAAGAAGTTTGGCTAGATGTGTAGTCATGGTATAATGGTTAAAATAATGGACTAACCAGGGAGAACCAGGTTTAAGTACACCTCAGTCATGAATTATTCATAACCCAATCTTCTCAGAGGTCTATGAAGCAAAATTGAAGGAAGTGCTATGTATACCACCTTGAGCTCTTGGTCACTGTGTTTCCCCGAAAATAAGACCCTGTCTTATATTTTTTTGAACCCTGAAATAAGCGCTTGGCTTATTGCCATGCACTCAAAAGCCCAATTGGGCTTATTATCAGGGGATGTCTTATTTTGGGGGAAACGGTATATAAATTAGTATTTTTTAGAAATCTTGAATTGCTTTAGAACAGGAGTGAGCTAATGTTTTTCTACAAATATCCTTCAGAATTAGTGGATGGGGCTGAAACAAGAGGACATCTCTTCCCCATGCCAAAACTCTCTGATGCCTTATTTTCTGTGTCTGAAGAAGCAACTGCTTATCAGAGTCTTAAATGGTCAGATGAAATAGCCCTTTCTTAGAGAGAAAGCTAAACTGCAAAGGATTTTTTTAAAATTTGGAAAAAGAGTACAGTGAACTTTGGCTGATCAAGAAAACTAAAGAAAGACCCAGTGCACAATCTGGGGTGTGTGTGTGTCTCTTGGACTCAGGGCTCCTGCTAGAAGAGCATGTGATAGCTGTACCCAGGGGGATCTTTACACATCTTAGAGGTGTGCACCAGTTGTGATTGGGAGGCATTATTCACAGTCACTCATAACCACTCATTTGGATTACTACAATGCTGTCCGCATGGGGTTGCCCTCGGAACAGCATTCGGAAGTTTCAACTGGTTCAGAATGCAGCTGCACAGGTAATAAAGGATGTTAGATATTTGATACATATAACACCACTGCTTCATGAGCTGCAGTGATTACCAGCATGTTTCCAGGTGTAATTCAAGATGCCGGTTGTCATCTTCAAAGCCCTTCCTGGTTTGGGGCAGGTTATCTAAAAGACCATGTTCTCCTAGTCGTTTCTATCCATCCAGTTTGATCTGGCATGTTGGGAATATTATGAATCCCATCCGCTAAGGAATGTTGGCCTGCAGGGACCAGGAGATGCGCCTTCTCTGCTGTAGCCCCTATCTTCTGGAGCATCAGAATGACCCCAATCCTCCTGGCCTTTCATAAGGCCATGAAGACTTGGTTGTGTGCCCAACCTAGGGCCCTGAGTGTATTAAGGTTCCTGTTTCTTGGTTGCATCAACAATTATGGTTACCATATATATTATGTATTGTTTTAATTGGTTTTAATTTGCCTTATATTCTATAATGTATGTCACCCAGAGTCACTTGTGTTATGTGACACTTCTGTGTCATGCCAAGAAAACTCATGTTTTACTCATGAATAACATGTCCATGTTACTCATCAGAAACTGACTTCAGCTTAAAGCTAATTTCACAATAAACAGAATCTGAACAAGTCTTACATCACTCAAACTTCAATCCAGAAGGGTGTCACAGGAAAATTATGTTAACCAGGAAAAAAACAAACAGCACTTGTTCATCCTTAGTAGGCAAAAATTCCTGAAGGATCTGGTCCCAGAGATGCTGAGCCAGCCTTTGAGTTGTCTACATACAAGCTTTTCCTATACATTCATCTCTAAACCTTTCCCATGTATGCTTCTGTTACACCTCCCTTCCCCCACCCAAACCCCTGATTTCAGCCATGCTAAGCATTCCTTGCAATGCAATGTCTACCCTTAGAGAAGCAAATTAAATGAGAAATTTGAATGCTTTGTGTGTTTTATAAATACCAAAATGACAGGATACAATGTCAACATGGCTTTTAACTTTTGTGAGAATCTATACACATGAGGAAGAAGAACAAATGGCATGCTATATTTGTACAGAACATTACTGGAGGAAGGAGAAATATGTATTTCAAGGGGTGTCCTTCAGTTCAACTCATTCCTCTGCTACTGTGCCTCTGCTGTGATTCTAGCTGCTATCTGCCCAATGTCAATTGGGACAAATCATCTTGATTTTGAGAAGATGACTCAGGCAATTCCAGTGATGAAATGCTAATGGACCTTTATAAAGCCCAATACTTTGTTGGCTAGCATCAGATATTTAGAAAAACCATTGCAAAATAACGATTGGGTTCGTATAATGTTAAGTGCAACATTCAAGCAGCATTGAATCAAGGTTCTATAACTTAACAATAAACTAAGCTAAACCAACTACCCCAGCCAGGCACTAAAACAGGTGGAACTTGAAAGACAAGACAATAGAACATGGATTCTGGGTAGTTAAGCTACTCATTTCATCTCCCCCCTTCACTTTATAGCTGCACACCCATTTCCTTATGTTATACATTATTAATAGTTTCATTCATAGATCCTTCAGAGAGCTAGCCTTAGTTAAAATGTGGAATTATAACATTAATTCTATTTCTTTGCTAGCTGGTTTGCATTCAACTACAATTACAGTTTTGAGTACGTACCTTTAAGCCTCCCCCAAAAGATGAGTCTTTCTTATTTATTTATTTATTTATTTATTTATTTATTTATTTATTTATTTATTTATTTATCAAATTTCTATACCGCCCTACTCCCGGAGGACTCAGGGCGGTGAACAGACAAGATAAAATACAGATAATACAAACATTAAAAATCCATTAAAATTATTGAATAATAATTATTAATTAATTAATTAATATAATTGATATAATTAATATCAATTATAAATGCCAATATAGTCAATAAACATAATGAGGAAGAAAAAAATATTCTAGGGAATATTTTGGATGTCTGAAGATGCTGTCACACAGAAAAGGACAAATATCTGTTTTCAGTTACTTTCAAAGACAGGATTTGTTGTAATGAGCTGAGTGTTTCAGAGGCAAGGTCTGGTTTAATAATGGAAGAAGAACTTGGTATGTTACAGCAATTCCTTTAAAGAAATGGTGGTGGCTGCCACTTTGGTTTTCAAGTAGGTTTTCGGGGGGTGGTGGTATCCAGGCCCCATTTTCCTATAAGAAAAAGAGGATGGAGCAAAATAGTTCACCAGGCCTTCATCTATCTTTATGACACTAAAGTTCTAAAACTTGGGGGAATCAAAACACTTTTCTTCCTGCCCCTGGGAAGACTGTAGGAACAAGCCAAAGTCTCTGCTGGGCTGTTCCAATGGAGAAGACTTATGCTACTATTCTTCCAAACTCAGAAAATATTTGGTAGCACAAACCAGCCTTTCCTAACATGGTGTCTTCCAAGCGTACCTCGAGAAGCTCATATCAACCCCAGCAGCACAGCCAAGGGCCAGAATAGGAATTCTGCTCTATGGAAGGCCATGCTGGATAAGGCATTTATGAAGCTGCTATGTCACAGTTTAATATTGTAAACAAAATACCAAAGCTGCTTTGTCAGGTATTCACGAAGGAGTACAGAACTCAATTATCTTAATTGTTCTTTTGCTGGGCCTCCAACACCTTGAGGTGCTGTGACATCATTTCTGCAGTTAAATCTGAAAACCTTCCAAACGAATCGGGTGAAATTCAAAATTTTTCCCTCCTGGTTCTGTGGGCGTGGCTTGGTGGGCGTGGCAGCGGAAGGATATTGCAAAATCTCCATTCCCACCCCACTCGGGGGCCAGCCAGAGGTGGTATTTGCCAGTTGTCCGAACTACTCAAAATTTCCGCTCCCGGTTCTCCAGAACCTGTTAGAACCTGCTAGATTTCACCCTGAAACAAATCCAGAAGCTTTTAAAAT